GCGGGCAACCTGCAATTGAGGAAAAAGAGCCACCTCCCCATTTTTGAAGGCATGAAGGGGCTAACAAGCGCTCGATGTTTGCGTTTAGTTGGGTACTAACTTTTTCAACACTACTAGAAGGACATTCTTGCTCCCATTTGGTAGGCAGGCACTTCACAGGCCCAGCTCTGGGCTGCATTGCCACCAAGGTGAGGCCAGAGATCTGCCCAGCCCAGCCCAGCCCTTCTGTAACCGGCAGAGCCACCTACTGGCAGTCATGCCATGTTGCAGGAGCTCTGGGCCCCGGGGTGGGGCACTGCGCCAGCTCATTTAAATCTCTAGAGGCTGGATGCGCCTGGAAAAACTTAAACTGAGTTTACAAGAGAGCGCAGACAGGTGATCCCTAGAGGGCGGAGGAGAGCTTTGGGGAGGAGCTTGGCCTGGGACCGCTCAGCCTCTGTGACTTTTACCCAGGCGAGAGAGAGAGAGACAAAGTCCACTTGGATGGAAGTGAGAGCAGAAAAGGGGTTGCCATTTTGACTCTGTTCAAAGGAAATGACTAGTCGGATCGGGTCTGGAAGTCCAGGCTCCCAGGTACTGCCGCTTAACCTGGGACTTGCAGGTACTGGTCCCTGAGGCCCACTCTAGATAGAGGAGAGAGACTGCAGGCATGATTTAACATTTAGTTTTATTTCCTGGGGATTTTTTTGACCAGTTTAAGGAGGCTTTCCAAGCTTTCCTCAGAAGGAAATGGTTGAATTGTGGGGTGCCAAGGATATAATGTAATTTTCCAGAACTGTTTAGGTGAAAGGAGTTCAGGACCTTGTATTCAATAAAGAGCTGGTTCTCTTGCTCTTAACCCCTCCAAGGCGGATTTGTGCAGAAATTCTTGGTCTATAGAGCTGAAGGGGAGCTCTAGTAGCCTGATGGGTCAGCAGTTGTGCTGCTAACCCAAAGGCAGGCAGTTCAAATCCACCAGCTGCTCTGCAAGAGAAAGATGGGTCGACTCCTGTGTGAGTCTCTGAAAAGCCTCTGTTGGGTAACTGTGAATCAGTTCTAAACCCATGGGATATAACAACAGCAACATAGAACTGAGGAGACAGAGGAGCTAAAACCTGGGTCAGGGGCCTGAGGGGAGCCATAGTCCAATTCAGTAGCATGAGTACAATTCGTGTTACCCAGTGAGCTAACTCAGGGTGTCACCCCATCCCCTGAAGAGCCTTCTCTACCAGACTGTGCAGAACCTTTAGTAATGTTTATTACAAATGTTAATGATAGAATAGTATGTGATAAATGTAGTTGAAATATTTCTTAGATAATATGAGTTGTTGTTGTGAAGTGTTTTGGAGCCAGTTCTGAGTCACAGTGATTCTGCATAGAACAGGATGAAACACCAGTGGGTACTGAACCAGGCTCACAGCCATTCCTTGGGTTGAGCCATTGTTACAGTCACTGTGTCAACCCTTCTCTTTGAAAGCTTTCTTTTCTTTTTGCTGACCCTCTCTGACTGTATGAATAGCTTGTGAGAAGTTGTGCTACTAACTTAAAGGTAACCAGTTCAAATCCACCAGCGGCTCTGAAGGAGAAAGATGTAGTCTCCTCCTATGTGATTTATAGTCTCCAAAAGCCTGCTAGAGGGTTAGCTATGCATCAGCTCTCGCTCAATGGCAATGAATTGAGAACAACAAAATTGTTTTGTAGAATCTTTCTATATAGAGTTACAACATGATTAATAACTGAGTGGAAACCTTTTGCTTTTTCTCCTTTCCTTTACTCACTAACTACTTCATTCTAAAAAAAAGTCACGTGTTTACGAATACCATTTGCCAGAATATCAGAAAATCTAACAAAATCAATGATTCTAAAAGCACCAGGCAAAAACAACAGCTCTGCTTGTAGCAAGTGTAGACTAAACTATATGATTTGAAACACCATTGTAATTGAGTAATAGTAACAGCTCCAATTAGAATATATTAGGTAGAAGAGTTTCAAAAGTAAATTAGCATAGAGAATTTGCCTTTTAGGTGTATTGATATATATAAGCTGAGCTTATAAAAAGTGTTTTGTTGTCAAGTTCTTGCAGTTGTTATATGCCGTTGAGTCACCTGCAATTCATAGCTACCCTATATACAATAGCTCTGAAGCCTGCCCTGTCCTGAGCCAGTCTGACTATGGCACTCCTATTTCCATTGCCCCAGTTACTGTATCAATCCATCTCATCAAGGGTCTTCCTCTCCTGTGCTGTCTCTCTGCCATTCCAAGCTTGATGTCCTTCTCCAAGGACTGGTCCCTCCTTTGGCCACGTGCCCAAAGTATCTGAGACTGAGAGAAACTTGGTTTCACCCTCTCCAAGACAGACCTATTTGTTCTCTTGGCAGTCCACAGTATGTTCAAGACTTCTCCAGCACCACAACAATCCAAAGGCATTAATTCTTATGGCATCTTTAGTCATTATCCAGCTCTCTAATGCAAAACAAGTAATTGCGAAGACCATGGCCTGGATCAGGTGCATGTTAGTCTCTAGACTGACATAATTGCTTCTCAGTTGCAGTTATGCCATATGATATTTTATTTTATAAAAAATTATTTTGGAACACTGCACAAAATACTTTATAGACAATCATTTTATCGTCATCCCTTCTGACAGTGTTACCACATGTGATCTGCACTCCATAGGCCCTGTTAGTGATGCCACTGGTAGGACTAAAGTGGGATGGATCTTTCAAAATGTGTGAGAACTTTAGAAGAACATTCTATTCACCCTCTCTTCCTTTCTGATGAGTAATTTTCAGTTTATTTTGAGGTTGTTGTTGTTATGTGCCGTCGAGTCGCCTGCGACTCATAGCGACCCTATGTACAACAGCCCTAAACTCCACTCTGTCCTGTGCCAATCGCACTGTCTCTGACACTCCCATCCCGATTATCCCAGTCACTGAATCAATCCACCTCATAGAGGGCCTTCCTCTCCTGCGCTGTCCCTCCACCCTCCCAAGCATGATGTCCCTTTCTAAGGACCGGTCTCTCCTCACTACATGTCCAAAGTAAGTTAGACGGAGCCTCAGAATCCTTGCCATAGGGCATGAAATATAAGATATGTATATTTTGTTGTTGTTACATGCTGTCGCGTTAGAACTGACTTACAGCTGACCCCCCCAGCAGGTTTTCAGAGGCAGTAAATCACATGTGAGGTCACTGTCTGTCTTTTTTCTCACATAGTAGCTGGTAGTTCAAACCAGTTGCCCTATGAGTTGGCAGTGCAACTCCTTGTCACCAGAACTCCCTGGATATGTATGTAGATATAGATTATAGATATAGGTATAGAGATATAAAACAAGAAGCATCAACACAGTGACTGTAACCGTAGGCTTGAACACATCAGAGATAATGAGGATGATCCAAGATAGGGCAAGGCTCAGATCTGTTCTTCATATGGCTGCTAAGAGTCATAGTTAGCTGACCCAGGTTTTAGCTACTTCCCAGTCTTCTCAGCTCTCTAGACTCATAAGGTGTGCCTGATCCAGTCCATGGTCTTCACAATTACTTTCTATGCATCAGAAAGCTGGATAATGACTAAGGTTGATAGAAGAAGAATTGATGCCTTTGTGTTGTGGTGCTGGAGAAGAGTCTTTGAACATACCATGGACCAACAATAGAACAAATAGGTCTGTCTTGGAGAGGGTAAAACCAAGTTTCTCCTTGGAAGCTAGGGTTTTGAGGCTCTGTCTCATATACTTTGGACATGTGGCCAGGAGGAACCAGTCCTTGGAGAAAGACATCATGTTCGGAGTGGTGGAGAGACAGCACAGGAGAGGAAGACCCTTTATGAGATGGATTGATACAGTGACTAGGGCAATGGGGATAGGTGTATCAGAGTCAGTGAGACTGGCTCAGGATAGGGTAGGCTTCAGAGCTATTGTACATAGGATTGCTATGTATCTCAGGTGACTTGATGACACATAACAACTGTATATAGATATAGATATAGATATATACACACATACGTTGGGTTGTTGTATGTCACAGAGTTGGAACCAAGCCATAGCTGATCCTCCGACAGGTTTTCAGAGGCAGTAGATGATTGCATGGGAGGAGATTGTCCAGTGTGTGTGTGTGTGTGTGTGTGTGTATACAAACATATACATATATGAGAGAGCACAAGAGCTCTGGTGGCCTACAGTGGCAAGAAGCTGTGTTGCAATCCCAAAGGCACATGGTTCGAGACCACCAACTGTTCCATTGCTCCATGGGAGAGCAATGGGCAACCTCCTCCCATTTGATTAACTGTCTCTGAAAATCTACTAGAGGGTTAGCCATGGGTTGATTCAGACTCTACGGTACACAACAACAATAAACATATATACATTTACACACATGTATAAATATATATATATAATAAATATAATAAATAAATATTATATATATAAAGAGAGAGAGGAAGAGAGAGAGAGAGCGTGCACGCACGTGCTCTGGTGGCCTACTGGTAAGAAGCTGCACTGCAATCCTAAAGACACACGGACTGCTCTGCAGGAGAAGGATGAACAATTTCCTCCCATGTGATTAATTGCCTCTGACCCACTAGAGGACCAGCTATGTCTTGGCTCCAACTTGATGGCAAACAACAACAACACCACACACACACACACACACACACACACACACACACACACACAATTTCCTTTGTCTGTGTCCTTTGTTCTCAGTTACTTGACTAAAAGCATTCAAACCATCACCTAAATTTAGAGTGACTCTGGTTGTACAACTAACATATCAGATGAAAGAATATGGGAGGGATAGCTAGCATTTCAGGTACACTCAGGAAGTTCTGGAATTAATTTTTAATGGAAGGAGAAATAGTTATTGTGTTGGGTAGTGCCTGTGGTTCTATGACTGATTATTTTTTTTTTTATCCCATAGGGTCTAAGGGTAGCTCTGAGACATTGATTCTTACGGAGACCCTGAGATTTCTACATTCCAAGCAGTCAGATGCCGCTGGACATGTTCTGAGTGCCTTGCCCTAGACAATGGCCAAGGGACTCTTGGTGACCTATGCCCTCTGGGCTGTTGGGGGCCCCGCTGGGCTCCACCACCTGTACCTGGGCCGTGACAGCCATGCTTTACTCTGGATGCTCACTCTGGGCGGTGGCGGGCTAGGCTGGCTCTGGGAGTTCTGGAAGCTCCCAAGCTTCGTAGCTCAGGCCAACAGAGCCCGGGGTCAGAGGCAGAACCCACGGGGACAGACACCCCCTCTGAGTCTCATTCGCTTTGCTGGCCAGGTGATAGTAGGTATCTATTTTGGTCTTGCGGCTCTGATTGGCCTTTCTTTCATGGCCAACTTCTATTTCGTGGGCCTCCCACTGGCAATTGGCTTAGGGGTTTTGCTGGTGGCTGCTATTGGCAACCAGACCTCAGACATTAAGAACACATTGGTGGCAGCATTTCTTACTTCCCCTCTCTTCTATGGTCGCCCCATAGCCATTCTGCCCATCAGCCTGGCTGCCAGCATTACAGCTCAGAAGCATCGCCGCTATAAAGTTTCAGTAGCAGGATCAGAGACTCTTAGTGTCCGGCTTTACCGGCTGGGCTTGGCTTACCTGGCTTTCACAGGCCCAATAGCCTACAGTGCCTTCTACAACACAGCTGCCACTCTCAGTTATGTGACAGAGATCTTGGGCTCCTTCTTGGGTTGGTTCAGCTTCTTTCCCCTTCTTGGTCGCCTTATGGAGTCTGTCCTCCTTCTGCCTTACCGGATCTGGCGGTTACTGGTGGGAGAGCTTGATTTCAGCAGCAGCTACTTTCAGGAATGGGAGAAGCTCTATGAGTTTGTTAGCAGTTTTCAGGATGAAAAGCGGCAGCTGGCTTTTCAGGTAAGGCTTTCTTCCCTCTCAGTCATATCTGGGATGGCTCTGCTAATGTAAGCCTTCCTGAAGCCAGTGCCCCTTATGTAGAATCACTGGGCTCAGGTCTGTCAACCTGGGCCGGCAAAGAGTATCCTGGCTTATTTGGCTTTTATGTCCAGTAGATAGAAGTGCAGAATCTCTAATAGTGAAAGAGAAAAAAAAATATTTTTATTGAGGTATTACATATATAACCACCCCAAAACCACTGTCATTGAGTTGAACCCCACTCATAACTCATAACCCCACTCACCCAGTTTCCAAGGCAATAAAGCTTTACAGGAGGAGATTGGCCATCTTTCTCCCAAGGAGTGTCTGACGGGTTAGAAATGCTGACTTATGGTGAGCTCTGGTGGCCTAGTGGCAAGGAGGTGTATTGTAATCCCAAAGGTGCACAGTTCAAATCCACCAGATGCTCTGCTGGAGAAGGAGGAACAATCTCCTCCTGTACCAGTCAGATCTGATTTGACGGTAAACACACACACACACACACACACACACACACACAAAATAATAAAATAAAATTAAAAATAAAAAAGGGAAAAAAAAAGAAATGCTGATTTATCTGTTAGCACAACATGTAACCCTCTACACTACCTTATAACATGTTATAAAGTAATTATATAACTTTATAACATATAGAAACTACACTGATTTCATGTATATGCTTATATACCACTTAGATCAATTTCCTTATGCCTCTTCTCAGTCATCACTCCTCCATTATGGAAGCTGTATGAGGACTTCTAGATCCATTTTGCCCATTCTTGAGCTCATATAACTAGAATCTTCTAGTATATGTTTTTTTGTATTTGACTTTTTAATTCAATATAATGGTTAGGAGATTTATTCCTACCGATGCACACAATTATAAGTTGTCTTTATTGCTGTATAGACTGTCATTGTATCAATAGATTTATGGTTCATTTATTCCCTCTACTGTTGCCATCTCCCCCCCTAAAGATTTACTGCCTCAGAAACCTGACGGAGGGTTACCATAAGTTGGAATTGGCTGGACAGCAGTGAAGTTTTTATGATTGGTAGACACTTCAGTCATTTCTGCTGTGGGACTTCATTTACTATTGTAAACGAAGCTGTTGTGAACATTTTTGTCTTTTAATGGTCAGATGAACTAATTTCTCTTAAAAGGAGGAAGTTTTGATTGTCAAGGATGTGAAATTTCAGCTTAGAAAATAGGCAGCTGTGCTTAAAGGCCAATCTTGGTTCTTGCCAGGAGATCCAGAGCTGGCCCATGCTTCCAAAGACTGAAATTCTAGTCTGAGGCTCTGGGCCTTTCCCGCAGGAAGTAGAAATTCATTTCAGAGATACTCCAGCCTGATTTAGCAAAGGAATGTAGAGAGGCCCAGGTACTAACAGGGTTCTAATTTGCTAACTTCTGTTTTCCTAAGGTTTTGGGTCTCTCTGAGGGAGCAACAAATGAAGAAATACATCGGAGTTACCGGGAGCTAGTGAAGACCTGGCACCCTGATCATAACCGCCACCAGACAGAGGAGGCGCAGAGACACTTTCTAGAGATTCAGGCTGCATATGAAACCCTAAGTCAACCCCGGAGGCCCAGGGGATCCTGAGGATGGCCTATTTCTGGAAGAACAGAGCAGTTAGTCCTAGTCTAGCCTTGACTACAAGGGGTGTCCCAACAGCATCAAAGAACCAGAAAATGAGACAAGCCCTTAAAGAAGTGAGAAAAATCATGGTAGAAGAATGCATTTATAGTCTGGATGTCTGACTTCTATTGTATTTTTTACTTTTACCTTTTTAAACCAGAGAGTGAGAGGCATACCATAACCCCAATAAAATATCCTTTAGAAAATATATCACTTTATCCCCTACCTGATAAGTTGATGTATAGATGGCGGAAATGATTTAAAACTTATGTTTTTCCTTTTTGACGTACAAAATATTGGTTTAAGAGATTGAAGTAAAAATATGAATGCTCTAATATTCAATAAGCTGTCCTGTGAAAGAGGGGTTCGATTTATTCTGCAAATTACCAAGAGGGTAAGAGTGGGATTACATTTCAAAATTTGAGAAGATATTTGAAATTTATTTATAGAAGATTATTCCAGCAGGTACACTTTTCCAAGAAGGAAAAAGCTGCAGAGAGTTGGGGAGTATGATATAGTTCCTTTGTAGACTCATCTGCTTTAAGGAGTGTCATGGATTGAGTTGTGTCCTCCTCAAATTTATGTATGTGATGATATAATGTGGAAACTAGATAATGACTCCTCAATGATCTGATAGAGCTAATAGTTGTGAAAAGATTAAAGTTGGAATATAACACCCTTTAATTTTATCATAAGCCTAAATGGTGTAAGGAGAGTTTCCCCAAGATGTAGCCAATAATACCTTTTGTCGCCTTAAAAATAGAAAGTGAGAAAAGTGAGAAGAGACAGGGAACCCCAGTTCCACTAAGAAAGAATTGTCAGGAGTAAGTAGAGTATGTGTTTATGTGCTCAGGTCTCTGCTCTCAGAAGCTCTTTGGAAATCCTTAAGGATCACATGGACATTCCCAAGGAACACTTGATCTATAGACACTAAAGGAAACATGAACCTTCCTCCAGAACTGATATAGATAAGAACTTTCCCATTGTGATTTACAGCCTTAGAAACCCAATGGAGAATTCTTGTGGGTTTCTTACTATTGTTCTTAGGTGCCATCGAATTGACTAGACTCATTGCTGTTATGTCCCATCAAGTCGACATTGACTCACAGCAACCCTATGCACAATAACTCTGAACATCGTCCTATCCAGAGCCAATCTCACTGCCTCGGACACACTCACTCCCAATACCCAGTGACTGTATCAATTAATCTCATTCCAGTTCTTCCTCTCCTGTACTGACCCTCCATCTTTCCAAGTATGATGTCTTTCTCCAAGGACTGGTACCTCCTAGCTACATGCCCAAAGTATGTGAGATGGAGATTTAACATCATTGCCTCCAAGGAAAAACTTGGTTTCACCCTCTCTAGGACAGACCTGTTTGTTCTCTTGGCAGTGCATGGAATGTTTAATGATCTTCTGCAGTGCCACAACTCAAAGGAATCTGACATATTTCAACAGACAGATGCTGCCCTGGATGTGCTCACCACATTGTGCCAGGAGGACTAGATTCATAGTAACCCTGTAAACAACAAATCAGAACCTTGCCCCAGCCTGAACCATCCTCACGCGCTCTATCATGCTCGAACAGTCATTGTGTCGGTTCATCTTTGGTGAGGGTCTTTCTTTGTTGGCCCTTTCCATCTTTACCAGCATGGTGTCTTTTTCCAAGGACTGGCCCCTCCTGAAAACATGCTCTAAGTATGTGCGAAAAGAGCAAGGGTGACATAGAGACAGCCATATTTGACCTCTATTAACTCTACAAGAGGGAACTACCTCCATCATCATCCACAACACAAAACCAATTCCTGTGAAATCGGACATGTCCCCCACACGTCCTCACCTATTTCTACTAATTCCAACACTAATTCTACTATTATCTGTTACAAAAGCTACATAGACTTCTCAGAACCATACTCAGGTTATGAGTTTTATTAGGGAAGTTACTAAGTTACAAGGAAGCTCTGGTGGCCTTGTGGTAAGAAGCTATGCTGCAATCCCAAAGGCATGTGGTTCAAATCTACCAGTTATGAGCAGTCTCCTCTCATGCAATTTACTGCTTCTAAAAACCCACAGGAGGGACATCTTAGGTTGATTCTGACTTGATGGTACAACAAAAACAACAGGTTGCAACTTAGGTGGTCGACAAGATACAATTTCTCTGTCAGGACAGCTCCTGTATGCTCTTCAGCCTTCAGCCTTGCGGCTTTAGACCAGTGTTACAAAGCTTTCTTAATCCTGCCAATTATAATGTCTCCCCACCAGTACTGTAGCAACTGTGGGCAAAGGCCCCTGGTTCCGGCTCTGTGGGATAGCAGTCCCATGTCTGCTCTGTTTCCTGTCGAGATTCTGGTTCTCCTCTGCAGCTGCTCTCCTTTAGGTCTCAGTCTGGGTGGTGCAGGAATCTCTGGTCTTAAAGGATGTGCGCTGCACTCCCTGCTCCTTTCTTGCTGGTAGTGAGATTTCCAAATTTCTGCTGCTGAATCTGCTCAGTTTAAACCTGGTGTAATGAAGAAACTAGCCAATCCCTTTGAGGATAAACTAACACATCCTATTTGTGCGTTCCTATACAACCATGTGGTCAAGTAAAATGACCTAGGAAAGCCGTTTTGAACAATAGACCCACCACATCATAGAATGTGAGATAAAGTTTCACTATCCTTGCCTCTCAGGATTGGATGCACTTCCTCCAAGACAGACTTGTGTTTGTTCTTTTTATAAACCATGAAATACTCAGTAATCTTCTCCAACACCACAATTCAAAGGCATCAATTCTTCAGTCATCCTTATTCTTTGTCCAACTTTTAGATGCATAGAAAGTAATTGACAAGCCTAGGACTTGCATCAGACACACCTTAGTTTTTAAACTGACATCATTGTTCTTTACACTTTGGAGAGGCCTTTGTCAGCAAGTTTTCCCAATGTAATACATCTTTTGGTTTTTTGACTGCTGTTACAATAGTTACTATGGGTGTTGATTGTGGATCTAAGTAAAATGAAATCATTGGCCATTCCAATCTTTTCTCTGTCTTCCATGGTGCTGTCTGAGGATCATTGTTTCCTTGCTGTTGAGATGTAATCCTTATTGAAGGCTGTAGTCTTTGCTTTTCTGCAGCAAATGTTCAAGTCTTCTTCACCTTAGGCAAACAAGGTTGTGTCATAACGTGGGTTGTTGATGAGTCTTCCTCTAATCATGATGCCACATTCCTCTTGAATGATTTGCTCAACATACAGATTGAATAAGTATAGAGAAAGGAAATAACTCTGATGTACACATTTCTTGATTTTAAACCATATAGTGTTCCTTTGTTCTATTTAGATAACAGCTTCTTGATCTATGTATAAGTTCTGCATGGGCACAATTAAGTGTTCTGGGTTTCACATTCTTTTCAGCATTCTAATGTAGATGTTGCTATTGCCTGCCTTTGAGTCAAAACTAACTTCATAGCTAACCCCCCAGTGGGTTTTCAGAGGACAAAATTGCACAGGAAAGAGGTTGCCCATCCTTCTCCAGCAGGGCAGCTGGTGGGTTTGAACCTTGTGCCTTCAGGATTGTGATGCAGCTTCTTACCATTAGACTACCAGATAAGAGAAATTTTTAGATCTTCTCAAAACTTGACATCTTTTTATAGGTCCTGCTCCCTAGGAGCTCATAATCTGGTAGAGAATAATAACACAGACGCACAGAAGAAGTCAAAGTTCACCTTGCTCAATGTTTTAAAATAAGTATCAAGAGGTATAAATAGAATGTATTGGAGGAGGGTCAGATGATGTTATTTCATAAGAACTCATGGAAAGTTAAGATTTGTGATTTTCTCTCTCATTTTTTTTAATCTCATGTGTCATTTTGGAGAAAGAATTTTGGGAAAACTCTGGAGAACTGGCACTTTCAATATCTCAGGGATTTATTTATTTTGAGGTAATGAGGCAGTATGACAAGAAGAGCCAGGACCACTTATTTTGTTAAAATAATGTCTCTTTGCTCCAGCTTTTTTTATTTGTGTGTATATGTGTATGTATGCTGAAATTTTGCCAATAAGTTTATTTACATACTCTGATTCCAAGCTCAAATTAACCTTCATAGCTTTCTGACATTGCCAAAAATGGCATACATTTCCTTTGAAAAACACAAATTATCACATGAAATTTTCATAGGCTATTAATTAGTAGCTTATTAACATGGCATGTGATAGAAAATACATCTGAAAGATGTAAACACTTTAAATATCATCTGTCAGAAAAAAGACAAGAGTGATTAGAGACTTATTTGGCAAATTATCTCACTGTTTTCAAATTTCATCATGAGTTTTTGTTAGAAAAGTATAGGTACACTTGAAAGTATTCAAATATTCCTCTATGAGTGAACAGTTTCTTTTAAACAAGTTTTTTTTTAAAGAGGAATCGATGCCTTTTTAAAATTTTTTTTATATTTTTAATTTTTTTAAATTTTATTATTTTTTGTGTGCGTGTACCGTCAAATCAGATCTGACTGGTACAGGAGGAGATTGTCCCTCCTTCCCCGGCAGAGCATCTGGTGGATTTGAACCGTTCACCTCTGGAATTGTAGTTGCAGCTCCTTGCCACTAGGCCAGCAGAGCTCCCCTAAACAAGTTTTTTTTTAAACAAGTAATACCACAAGGATCATCATTGAGTTGACATTGATTTTTATTTTTTTTTTAGGATAGTTACCGTAAGTGATAATGTAGGGCCAAATGGAATGTATATTTTAAATTTTGTTCATATTGTTACTGCTGTTTTCTATAAGCTTGTAGCAACAGTTCATTTATTCAACAACATTACTTCTTATGCATCTTCTCTTCGTAATTGCCAAAGAATGTTAGGATCCTTAGCTTTTGCCAAGGCTATGAGTGGAAAAAGAATATCTAATTCATTTGCATTTCCCTGACTTTTTCTTTAGTGAAGTTTAACATCTTTTCAAATATTTATGGATGTTTGTATTTCCTCTT